GAGTCAAGCTACCTAGAACAAATATGACATATGTGGGAGTCATTCATCAGAGGTGTCTGCAGGGACACTGTATGGATCTCAGCTGTGTCCTCCTTAAAATTCATCCCTGCTGTGATACTAACAGGAAAAGCTCAGCAATGATTCATCTGGTGGTTTCCAGTCACTGCCTTTTAATATGTTGACCAGCATGATCTCACTGTTACCTTGTGCTTGCAGTATTTGTGTTTTTTTAATAGACAAGGTGTTCAACATAACAATTAAAAAAAAAAAACCAAAACACCAACCCTGTGGGGCCTAGGGATTGTCAGATGTGACTTAAAGTACTGCCAGTCTACCCTCCCCTATTTGTCTCTCCCGCTTGTGATATACCACCCTTTGGCTCACGTCAACACAACTCTTCTGCAGCTGTGCTATAAACTGAACAGGGAAACTGATTTGGCTACAGACACTGGAGGCAGGGGGAAGTGCTGGGTTTCTTTTTGCTGGATCAGTTCCCCCATCTGGCTGGATGCACAACCCCAGTGGGTTGTACAGGATCAGAGCAGAAAAGGGGGCTGTGGGCATAATGCAGCATTGCTACCAAGTACTTTAAAACACTACATCAAAACCTGATGCTGGGACATCTGCACATTACCTCTATCCAAATAATAAATACCCGTAACAAAAATGTAACTAATAAAAAATAGCATTTGTAATCCCCTAAGAAGATATTCATCATTCATAAGGGATTGTAGAAAATTAAATCAAATATTAATAGTTTAGAAACAAGATGTTGCAGTTGGTTCATTCTGGAGTATAGGTCAAGTTGGGCCCAGATTTTCCATGTCGTTTTTGAGAGCCCACAGCACAGCACAGCACACAGTCAGTAGCACAGAACACAGTCAGTAGCTATCCAAACCAAAGCCCGTGCTTTGTAGAAAAAAAATAACAATAATTGTTAGTGGTTCAGGCAACCTCACAGTAACAGACAAGCAGAATGTGAAAGGCAAATGAAAGACTAGGGCAAAGGAAGAGCATTCAGTTATGATTTCAAGAGGTGCTTTCAACTTAGTAATAAGCTAAAATAAGTAGGTTTTTGTCCCCTTTAATTTTGAAAAACCTAACATAGGGCTTAAAAAACATTTTTACGATGATAATTTCATTGTTTGGGTTGTGATTGCTTTTTAACCCTACTAGTCATGAAAATATCTGCCTTTTTTCCCCCACTGACTCACTCTCGGTTATAGAAAATTACTGGTGCTCTTGTAATTCCTGCGCCCTGTTGGAGAGCTAGTTCAGCAACATTTTGTACTCAAATAAAGCAAGTAAGCCTTACTTCGTGCTGTGATGTATTCCTTACACTGACAAAATAAAAGGAGAAATCCTAGCCCCACCAAAGCGAACAGAAACAAATCACACCTTAAATTCAGTAGCGTTGAGGTTTGACCTCAGCTTTTCTTTTCCAGAGTCAGGAGCGCCAGACTGAGTCCATCTGGAGTGTCTCCTTTGGCATTCAGCTTGACTTGTGACGTGAAACGTTCAGCAGAGAGACTTGTGAACATGCACTTGTGGTTCTGAAGTCTGAAATAAAGCGATGAATATATACTTAACTGATCATCAAATAACATGCCCTTGTTGCAACTTTAAATGCAGTTCTGCAAAGGAGCTTCTGGAATGACACTAAATTAGATGACAACCTGTGCTCCTAATTAATCTCTAGTTACAGTTAACAAGAAAAACAGTTCCATCTTCTGAACGTGCAGGCTCACACTGACATATGAGGAGCAAACAGCTTAATTTCATTAGCACACATTGCCATATATAATAGAGCTATAACAGGCCAAATGCTCTATTTTACGCTCCTGAAACTCAGTCTCCCTCCGGTGATGCTGTTGTGACACTTTCAGGATGCCAAGAAGGGAAATGGATCTGGCAGTTGTCACTGGTTGGAAGTACAAACAATTTTTCCCTTAACCACCTCGGCTTTGCAGAGTTACCAGAAGGATAAAAGCATAAAAGCTACTGCAGTCATTAAAGAGATGTGACTCACAGAACAGGAATCGCTGTGTTGCGTTAGGAGATGTCAGTTGACAGAGTCACTAAACTGGCAGCCAGAAGCTGGGAAGTTAGAAACTAGCTCTATTTTTTAAACATTTTTTCCCCTAATTTTCTGCTAATGGCTTTTGGCAGAAGGAAGTTGCTCAGGAGATGGCTTTTGAGACCGAGTGTAGTGGTGTTGTGGGCTTGGAACAGATGCATGCTTTTACTAGCAAATAGGCCACTATCAATTAGATCATCAGATGATAATAAGAATAATAATAATAATTAAATGCTGTGGTGTTGGAATTGCTGTCTGTGGCGATCGCTTAATATCACACATGCTTTAACTGTAGCTCTTGAAAAGATGAATAGAAGTTACAGGGCACGGATACTGAAGTTAAAATTAAAAGGCAGCAGGAGTCTTAAAATTACACACATCACTGAAGTAAGTTCAATTTTAACAAATAAAACGAAATGATTCATTCAAGTATGGGAAGGGGTAAGAAACTTCCTTCAGCAAATTGCTAAGTATAAGGCATCAAAAAAATAAGTAGCTAGAGAATACTTTAAGAAAAAAGAACCAAGATTTGATTCTCAGGTGATAAAGATGTATAGCTGAGATCTCAAAAAGCTCCTTAGCCTGAGCCTGCTTACATGTATTGCTAAACCAAAGCCAAGTCTGAGAAATCACAAACATATGACAATTTTCCTTCCTGCTGCTAGAAACTCTGCCTAATCTCCCAGCAAGTGGTCCCATTTGGCTCATGCTCAAAGCCTGAAAGAGATCCCAGTTTCCTATAGCTTAATATAATTTGTATGTCAGTTCAGTGAACAGAGGCATTACAAGACAGCTCCTGGCATGCTTTACACCTTTACAAGAGTGCACGCATTTTATGCAAACCAAGCAACAAGGCAAAGAGCATGTGCTATTCCTGTGCTTTTTACCAGGCTGCTTTATCACCCGTCACAATGCTGAAAGTGAATGTTCATGTTATACAGTGGTCTTCGTTTGTGTAAGAGCACACAGATCCAAGTGCCAAGCAGTATGCACAGATCCTTTACATTACACATGAGAAAGGGGCTCCATTAATTTCGACCAACACCAGATCATGCCACAAGAGGTGAAGGTGTAGGCAATAAGCCATTACATTTACTTCAGTTTCTCCTATAGTTACTTTATGCTTTTTTAAACTTGCCTTAATTAAATTCATTCTAGAACATAAAAATTGCTCAGTTTCCACTGATCTGGAAATGGCTCTTTTTAGGCCAGGAAGACTCCTGCCTTGAGGCACTTACTAGAGCTAGGACAGGAATCAGTGCTTATAGCTTATATAGATTATTTTATTATCGTGCTCAGTGAGTTTACGCAATGAGATTCATACCAAGCTTCCACTGTGCCAGTATTTGTTTTTTCAAACAAAAAAGGTTTGTAAATAACAGTGCCAGAGTATTATCCAGCAAAGCAGTGTTCTACTTTAAAGATAAGACCAACAGATGCTACTGCTGGTAGCATTTAGGAGTCTAACTGCAAGGTACTGAGCAGTGCTGCTCTTCACAGTACTCAATGAGATTTCATTTATGAAAGTAAGTGCAACTATTTGCAATCAGCATGTCTACCTTATGTTCAGACACTGAATCCTCTTTGCAGAAGGCAGAGCTCACACTGAAATCCAACCAGGAGTCATATACAGGTAACAGTTTCATGTGGTGCTTGTGACAGTGGTTGGAGAGCGTATAAGAGGCACATCAAGTATCCAGAGCAAACAGCAGCAGGTTTTAAAGGGATCTTGTGAAGAAAGAGCAAAGACCTCGGAATCAGGAGACATGGTTTCTCTTCCATGGGCTGCAGTAAAATCACTGTGTAAGCCACAGGAAGCCATCATCTCTGTAGCCAAAATTAAGCTGGTCAGGCTGAAATAAGTGTTGGGTTTCATGTCTCTAATTCAGTGAAGTCCTAATCTGTGATAAGAGCCCCATGAAACTGTTTTAGGAATGAACCTAATAATACATTATTAAATATATAGTCTAATATGTATTTTGTATTATAGAATAAAAAAATAATAATGAATCTAATAATACTTTAATAATAATCCAGTGAAGCTGTGGCTGCCCCATCCCTGGCAGTGCTCAAGGACGGGTTGGATGAGGCTTGGAGCAAGATGAGTGGCAGGTGCCCCTGCCCATGATCTTTAAAGTCCCTTTCAACCCCAACCATTCTGTGCTTCTGTGAATTAATGAGACAAAGAATCATTGAAAAATCAGGCAGGGGTTTAATTGTATTTGGTATATAGGAGACCTGTTGTTTTTCTAATTCTAACCTATGTTTGTACTTTCTTCTTTATCATGTTGACGTTTGCAAGCAATAAAAGGGCATTATGTGCTGGTCATTGCATCTGCTTTTGAGATAAATCTATGTTAGCATTCCAAAGGGTCAAGGAGTTCTTCCAGGGCAAACAAATTCTGGAGCACTGATGCCAGATGGTGTGTATATAAAGTGAAAATGAGAAAAACAATTTATTGTGTTCCTGTTCCACAGAGAAGTATCGCTCAGAAGGACAGCAAAAGAGGTGAGAAACTACTGAGAAACTGGAGAGACAGTTTTATTCTTCTGTAGTATGTTGGGGTTTTTGTATCTGAAAAGTCTGGTTACATAGAGGAACCGCAGTCCTTACTCAGGCAAAATGAGTTCAAAAAGGTAACAGGAGTGTTTAACTAAGGGATGAAGGGTTGAATTACTAACATGTATAAATAATTATGCATTGATTTATGTAAGAGGTCCTAGCTTTATCTATATGTCTCACTAATACATAGTCTGTGTTTAGAGAAATGTTTGTTGCACAGTCAAAACTATTTTATCTTGAATTTTTGACCAAACTCCACAAAAGAAGCAGAAAATAATGGATCAGATTTTTAAGTATAAATGAGCACAGCCTCAACAAAGGCAAGTTATCAATGTCATTTATCCAGCTCAGGTGCTGACCACTCACTTGCAGCTGTATTCAATGTGTCATTTCCAAGTGTGCAAAGCAACTCTGCAAGTTTTAGAACTAATCAACCTTTTGTTCAGATCTAGTGAAACAGGAATGTCTTTTGGAAGGGTTCAAAGATAAATTCAGGTCAGTGTAGAAAATATAAAATCATTTTATTGAAATACTGAAAAGTATAACATCATTTCATAAATAGCCTGGACTGCCTTTTGTCATTTGCTACCAAACCTCAAAACTGTGCCGCAGAAGTATAAGTGTTGAGAAGTACACAAAGAGAAAGGGAGAATGTATGGCTTAATATTTATGTGTGAATCTTTGATGAGCATATTTTATTTGGTTATGTATGTATTTGGTTATATATGTCTTTCTTTTTAATGTTATGGCTTCTAGAAATACAGGATATAAAAGTTCTCTTCATACAGGAAAAAGAGCTGAACAACAATGCTGAGGTTTGCTGTCACCCTCTTTGCTGTCATAATGTCATCCACCTGCCGAAAGTTTGGATGTCTGGAAGGGAACACCCACAAACTGAAGCCAAGTCCTGAGCCAAATATGCGTGAATGCACTCTGTACTCTAAATGTAAGAGTGGTTTAATTTTTGCCAAATATAGTCTAGAAGTACAGCTTTGTACACACTGACTGCTTTAGCAGTTCCCTTAATTTCTCAAAAATATGCAAGATGCAGTATAAGCAAGACAAGCTTCCTTCACTGGCATATTGCTTCGTGCAAACCAAGAGTAAGATACTGGTTCTTCACAAAGTCAACTGCAAAACTCTCATTGCCCTCATTTATCTTCTTTTAAAAGAAAATCAAGTTATGGGCCAAAACAGATTCATCTCACATATTGTGACTTAAAAATACAGTATTAGAGAAAATCCTTATCGCAACATCTCTGTTTCATTCCTAACAGCTTCCTGTTGCTATGCAGACTTCACAGTGCAATTGGCTCGTTCCCCGGTAATTAAAGTAAGCAACAGCTACTGGAACAGATGTGGGCAGCTCAGTAAACCGTAAGTCAGCTTTGATGTTGTCTGTATCCTGGTTCAGTAGATCTATGCTGTGGCAGCCACACAGCTAATGGTAACTCCCCCTGGGATGGACAATCCCCAGGTTGTCCTAGCAATTACACCACCCAGCTCCTGTCATCTTTTCTCTACACCTGACCAATGTCTGACTCTTCCTCTTCTCTCACAAAACCCCATGAATCCCTATGTGTATACTATTTGTGCAGAAAGGTTATGCTTTTTCATGTTTGCTTTCAGTATAGAATCAGATCTAGCAATGCAAAGCAGTCATAAACTGAGTAAGTAACAACCACACCACACCTCTGTAGCTCTCCAAAGCAACCATCACATCCAAATGAGTGTGACCCCTAGTCAACATAGACCAGGCTTCTTCCTTTGCTTAGAAAGGAGATCAACCATGTTATTAAATGTCACAAACTAGGGGCACAAGAGTCCGGAAATGAAACTTCTGAATATTTAGAAATAAAAATTCTTGTAGTCCTGTGGGTTTCATAACCATGAAGAATGTCTTCATAATTAAGATTTTAAGTACTCTGTTAGATGTTAGAGCTGTGAAACATGGCAAGTTAGAGAAATAAAAGAATGAAAGTACAAAACAATTAAGCAAAAACAGATGTGCAAAAGTAACAGCTCTTGTCTGCCGCTCCCAGAAGAGCACAACAGTATGTGCTTTTAAGTAACTTCAGCTGGGCTGTGGGAAAAATCTAAAGATCAATGAAACCATGAGGCTACAAAATCGAAGAAGTTTTGTACTATAGTTTTAAACTACATTTTATCGTTGCCTGGAATTGTTCTTGCCAGGAAAACTCAAGGCCTCAAAAGTTTACAGAAAGCTTACACAAATAGGGCTGAAATATGCATGGAAACATTTGTTCACTCTTTAGCTGGCCATGGTAATTGCACAGTCAGAGTCTGTACACAATGCCAAAGGAATGAGTTTGGAACATAGACACTTAACAGGCTGCAAGGATGCTTTTCTATGTGTATTACACCCACATCAAAGCAGGCCTAGAAAACTGAGGCTCTAGCCTTGATGCTAAGAAATGGGCTTATTTGTGGCTTTTCTCACCCACCACAGCTGTGAAGATTTCATGAAGAAAATTGAGTGTTTTTACCGGTGTTCTCCATATGCTGCTCGCTGGATCCATCCCAGCTACACTGCTGCTATTCGGTCTGTTCCACTGTGTCAAAACTTTTGTGATGACTGGTAGGTTCAGCTTTTTATCAAAGTATTTTTGTTTATCTTTAATACTTCTGTGTTACTTGGATGTCACAGAGCATGGGTGGATGAAGCACAGATCTCCCAGTCAGTTGGCACTAAGATTTGATGGTGTGGCACCACCTTTATACCTTTTCTCCTTCCTCTTCATTTCTTGTTTGTCATCTCTATTTTTTTCCTCAGTTAAGCTACTACCCCCAAAATAGTAATAGCACAGGCTGAAGGCAGGATGGAGTCACTAGTGACCCAAGGTCAGCACTGCCAGGCTGTCCATGAGGATGCAGTGCAGTGGCATCTGAAATTCCTGACATGATGGAGATGCTCCCCACCATGTCAACAGGAACTAACAGCAGTCAGGGTCCTGCCCACCCTTTGAAAAGGCAATGCCTACAAGTTAACATTTGTGCAGTTAGCATTTGAAATCTAAATACTTGATCATGATATGATAGTTATTTGTATAAAATGCACTATGCAATCATGAAAGCAGACACTTCCTGTATGTTTTCAATTAATTCATATAACAAATTAGCTTAATTCCTTAATTTTGCACCTTTGGCCTTTTCTATTCCCTTCCATCATCCTTCTCTAAAATCACTTCTAAAAGCCTGAATCTCAGAGAAACTTGCAGCCAAGTAATGCTAAAAATTTTAATAGCAATGAACAAACATTTAATTACCATTTGTTTTCCTAAAATATAGCATAAGGGAATCACATTAGTTTTTGAGTGCAACACATGTAGTAGAACAACCCAGCACCTGTCTGTTCTTAGTCTTGGGGTAGGAGCATTATATCCAGGTGGGGTACTGGGAGTTTTTCAGTGGCCCATATCCAGCATATATCTCTCCCTCCCTATTTTGATATGATGGATTAAATAATGTCATCATGTGACATACAAATCTCAGTCAGTACCATATTAAGTAACTGCAGTAACTGGACCTACAGATAGTATGGTTAAAGTGGTGCAAAGCATCCTACAAACAGCACAGGCTGTGTTCACAGTATAGGATCGTAACTGCTACATCCCTTGAAAGTAGTGAACTGTGAATCTCTTAGGCTGCTCTGAAAATCATGGAACACTGTTTTAATACTTCAAAAATGTTATGAAAGAGCTTTTCTTGGAAGCATAGAAAATACACACAGTAGCACACTGCTCTGTAAAGTGCTTTCCCTGGTGGTTACACAACTTGGTTATTGACACATGGATCCATTTTCACTCTCACCTTCTCTGCAAGGGCAAAGTCATGTGTGCAGTGCAGTATTGTGGTAGGATTTGTCTACAGTATGTCTCCATTGCTTTGTGCCAGAGAGAGAAACAAAAAACATGGTTGGGATTTGTAATGGAAAATAGTGAGAAAGGCTGATGTATTTCTTAGCTTCCCTAGAATTTCCTCTAGTGATTACTTTTATTTCTGTGCTAGGAAGCTCCATGTACCTCAGGAACAGATTTGTCACATGCAGTCTTCCTTCCTAAATTTTTGGTAATCTTCTAAACTGAATCCAGATTATCACCTTCTTGAAGATAAAGGCTGAGACCTTGAATTTGCCTCAGTGATCAGAATGTCAAAGCTCAGAACCAAGTATTTCCAAAATTCAAAAGCATTTGGATATTAAAGCATTGGAGTTGGCAGTGAGCTTTAGAATAGATCTGACAGGCAAAGGAGTGAAGTACCAATATCTAAACCAAATGTATCCCATAGTAAGTAGCATACAAGTCATCACTCAAACTGCTATATGCAGTGAAAGTATAAAGATGAAAGAAAATGTACCCTATAAGTTTAGTTTGCATCTATGAACTGGTTTAAGCCAGCCTTAGTGTATATGAGATTCATACTGAAGCACATAGTGTGGGCCATATGACATGGCAAAGCCCTCAGTGTCCCCCAGCTATTGCCAGAACCTCCAGGTAAATGGCATTTTAAACTTCATTGTTGGAAAGTGTGGGGCTATGATTGACAGCTGCTGCACAGGAAAAAAAATTATCATTTTCCTGTATAGAGCCTCCTAACAGAGAGCAGGCTCTACTCTAAACATACGCTGAACAATGATCTGTTGCCCCTGTTGGCATCATAGATGCCTGGCCTGAATCAAAAATGTAATGATGAGCCAGTACCATGCACGCTAGTCTGTGTGCCTGCCTAATGCCAATGTCAAACCCATTCCCTCACCCTGCTTAAGGCCTGGGGCCAGAAAAGAGGCTGGACAGAATTCCCACTCTTTCTGGTGATTGAAAGTAACATTTTTTCATGTTCTATTCACTGGAGTCCCTTTAGCGTGTGTAGCACTGCTGGTGATGTGACCTACTTTCTCTACATGCCGTGAGTGCGCCTGCTGCATACTGTATGTCTTTGTGGCCAGAAATGTGCTGAGGATTCTGAATGAGCAGTGACTTCATTTAAAAGAAATTCATCTGACTTGCTTGGGGCCTTCCTTTTCTTCCCATTGTCTTAGGATTTCTTGCTCCCACTAGTTGTAAAACTATTGCCTTTCAAAGAGCCCCACGTACAAGCCATTTTCTGATCCATCTGTGAGAGGGTCTTGTGCCCTTAAAAGAGAAACAGCTAAAAAAGCAGGGGGAGAAGCTTTAAAATAAAAATATCCTGCTCATTGTGCATAGGAAACTGGTGTGTTCAGGGAGGATCTTGCTGGTATTTGTGTTTCTGTTTCTCACAGGTTTTAATTAATATTTGAAGAAACCACTTATGGGCAACAGAAAACAGACTTTTCATAAGTCATGACTTTTTATAAATTTAGCTTCAGAATTACTTCCATTGGGATAAAGAAAAACTCAGAGCAATAGTTATGCCTTGGTCCTGATATATAACAAACCCCAGAGTCAGGCAATAATTGTAATTAGGAAACATTTCATCTGACAACTCAATAGATAACGGTGAAAAAATATAAATCCTTTAATGTATTTAATTCAAATTCCTGAGGAAACCAGATGCATAACATGAATGACCCAGGTCAACAAAACTCTGAAATACTTATTCATTATTTGAAAAGTATAACTGAAGGTAACACAAATTTCACAAGAAGCAGTTCCACCTTCTCCTCAGCCCCAAGGGCTGCTCATTCCCTCCCTTGCCCTGTCCCCACCCATGTGCCAGCAGCACTGTCTGAGAGGCCATGAAGCAACCTGGGTCTGGGAACTCATCAGGCTAAAAAACACTTAGGCAAATAAAAAAGGAAACCAGAAAAAGAAGACTCTGGGAAGGGCACAGCTGCTTTCAGTGGAAGTGCTGGTATTGGGCAGCTCACAGTAGATACTGATCGACTGTGCTAGAAAGCAATGAATATAAATGCATGCATAAAGTGAAGGATGTGCCTACGTGGCTTGAAGAATCAATTGTTGAATCTGACACTGGTATGTGGAGTCTGTAGATGGTGAATATCAAAGAGTTTGCATTGATGCTCCTACCTGGTATGCCTTCAAGCAGGCAAAGTGTCTAGTGTTAGAGAAACACTGGCGATTTACCTCTGTTGTCTTTCTCAGTCAGGGTACATGCAGCAGCTAACAAACAACAAACCAGTTATTCTTACATTCCCTCGTCCCAAATCCAGTCATGGCACGAACTGGGAAGATTTACCTGGTAGCGCCACATTACATTAATTTATCACATTGCAGCCTGTATTTCCAGCAGAGCCCCCACCTCTGACAGCAGATTCATGGATGAACACATTTGTAAATACAGGTCTCCTGCCCTACACCTGTTTAGTTCAGGCCCTGGTTACCCTCCATCTGTTGCTGTTCTTTCTCCCTCCAAAAAGCAAAAAAAAACCCTATGTGAAGGTTCTGTGGATGTGCATCTGCATATGCACGTGTACTGCAATGTGTTCTTGTAGTTCTGTGCCCACAAGACACCCTCATATTTCATTTAAAAATGTAAGTCTGCAGCCTTCATGATATCAAACTAGTTTTGGAAACATGACCCCGAAGATGAAAAATGACAAACAGAAAATCTATCCAAAGGCATTAATTATAAATACCATGCTGAGCAACACTAACTTTTTGAGAGCTGTGCCTCATGATTTTGGCACTCTCAGTTACTAGTGGGAATAGTCTGCCTGAAGCTATTGAGACTAAATGTAAGTAGATGTTAACTGATTTGCAGAAAGTGATACTAAAGAAAGGTAAGAGACAAAAAGTGGAACATAAGAAGTGGAAGGAAGGAAATGATGTAGGATAACGGTAAGCTATGAGATCTCTCATCACACAAACCAAGCAGTTGCAAACTTGTATTCGTCCCTGTTTATAGGCTTTTTTTTACATTACTGCTTATAAGTTAAAAACAAATTTAATATTTTGGTCCTGTAACCTGCAAGACTCTTCTCTTTCCTCATTCACTTCAAGTTTACCTGCTTTGAAACTGCCATTCTGAGGCTGACAGCCTATTAGTTTTTATGATTTTGTTGTTCTTATATTTTCCTTATTTCAGTGCATGTTTCTTATAGAACCCCCTGCCCAGGAAATATAATTATTCTTTTCCCAAATTAATTCATAAATACAAACTTCCCCCACACCTCCCCCAAGTGACAGTTCACTCTTAGCATACCTGTGCTCTGCCATAATATTGAACATCAGCATTCCTAAAACTCCCTCCCCACATAGTTATTTCCCCACTCAGTAACATCAGCAAACAAAGCCATCAGAAAACACTGCATGAAGGAGCGTTGCTCCTCAGAACATGAGCCCTTTACTTAAGTCTGTGAGTACAAAATGTAGTGGCTGAACTGTTTAGTTTGCATTGGGATTTAGGTCTTCCCGGTCAGCTCAGAGTTTATGTACATGTCAAGCTAAGATAATGTGCACATCTTTTGAAGATCTGTTGCTAAGCTGCACTGTGCAACCATACAATGTTACTGGCATAGCTCACATAGGCTTTTAGAGTTGAATCTGAGTCCACTGAAAAAAAGAAGTAAGAGAAATTAACTGTAACTTCCACTAATCTCCATGAAGGTATGAAGCCTGCAAAGATGATTCCACATGTGTTCGTAACTGGCTGACAGACTGGGAAAGGGATCGAAGTGGAGAAAACCACTGTAACAATAAATGTATTCCATACAGTGAGGTAAGAAAACCTGATCAACTGAAGCAGAAAAGAATGGTATTGAGGGGTCTTTCTTTTTTCCTGAGTATATGGGTATAAAATGCAACAAGTGAATTATTTTTACTTCAGCAGTTTCAAGCCATACCTACATCAGACTTCTTAAGTATAGAAATAGTTAAGCATTTATACTTATGTAGATCTCTTACTCTAAGGATATATGTATTTAATTAACCATTGTCCATACCACTTGTGAAACAAAACTGAAAGTTCAAGCAGCACAGATATGTTTAACCACAGTCAGGCTTAGAAAGTAAAAGACAAATTAACTTTGTTCATACAACAGAGACTCTGGGAGGTATTTTATAACGTTCCTTATATAATGTGGGGGTTTACCTCTGTATTTTTAAATTGGGATGTAAGTTCCCAAATTACTAAGCCATTTTTATGGTCTTCTTGCATATTAGGCATCTTTGCCTTTTTCTCTATTTTACTTTGGTATGTTCAAATCCTTCTCCATCCTCAAAATTCCTCATTTCTTCTAATTGTCTCCCGTCTGTTCTCCATAGACCTCTTGTATCTCCAATGTGTGATATCCATTGTCTCTGCCAATGGCCTGACAGAGCTAGCTTTGCTCTATGTAACTCTGATGGTTAAAGACCACCACTAATAAGCTTTCTGAGAGCTCATCCAATCTTTCTGAGAATGTTTAATGGTTGGGATAACTGATTTTATGGGCAAAAGTGTATAAAATGAGAACTGATAAGACTTACAGGAGCAAAGCTGATCTACAGACGTTTAAAGAGTCAGATAGGATTTTTTCTAGTGACTCAAGCAAGTTTAGCATCAGGATGAAAAAATACAACTTAAAACTGCTACACTTACTTGAGCATTTTTAATATCTGAACTTCACTGAGCCCATGAAAACTGTCCAAATTGAAGAATTAAATGAAATCTAAGTGTAGTGATTAGGGACTGGCAGTAAGACTTGCAGAGATCCCAGATTCATTGTTTTGAGTTCAAGTGCATATACTTCCAGAAGTCAGTTCAGCAACTGATACAAGTGGAAGTCACAGTCCAGTTAGCGCTGTCTGCCTTGCAAAATTGACACTGATCAGCAGGCTCAGGAAGGTGGCCAAAAACCAAATGGGCTGCGTAAACTTACAGCTGAGTCTCCCAGATGTGCTAAATCATCAGTGGTTCCAGATGAAGTGAAGACCAAAATGATAATCTCCGTAAATAATCTCCAGTCCCTGCTCAAGGTCCAGAGATAGGAATTTTTAACCTTAAATTCCCTTCTACATATTTCTTAAGAAAAATATACCATCTGCAGGGAAAATAGTCAGCAAATCCAGACATCTTATCACTTGACGCCAGGCGCAGCTACTTCTCAACTAAGTGGAACCACACCCCAAACTGCCCATGTTTTTCACCCAAAATAGGCTTGCGTGGGAAGTCAGAATAAAGATGAAGTTTCTTCAAAGCAATTAAAAAAACACATTTCCCATCTGAATGTTACGTGACAGACAAACACTAGACTTAGAATCATAGAATACTTAGGGTTGGAAAGGACCTCAAGGTAATCTAGTTCCAAACCCCCTGCCATGGGCTTGGATTCCTCAGAGTAGTCAATGTTGCCCAAGGCTCTGTCCAGCCTGGCCTGGAACACTGCTGGGGATGGAGCATTTACCACTTCTCTGGGCAACCCATTCCAGTGCCTCACCACCCTTACAGTAAAGGACTTCTTCCTTGTATCTAACCTGAACTTCCCCTGTTTAAGTTTAAACCCATTCCCCCTTGTCCTGTTGCTACAGACCCTGATGAAGGGTCATCCCCAGCGTCCTTGTAGGCCTCCTTCAGACACTGGAAGGCTGCTATGAGGTCTCCACGCAGCCTTCTCTTCTCCAGGCTGAACAGCCCCAACTTTCTCAGCCTGTCTTCATATGGGAGGTGCTCCAGCCCCCTGATCATCCTCGTGGCCCTCCTCTGGACTTGCTCCAAAACTCCATGTCCTTCTTATGTTGAGGACACCAGAACTTCACACAGTGCTCCAAGTGGGATCTCATAAGAGCAGAATAGAGAGGCAGGATCACCTCTTTGCTTGGTTTGGACTCAACTTAGGGAGCAGAAAGTTGCAGTTACCCAGAAGCACAATGGGTTCTCCAGTGTCAGAGCACTGTGGCCAGATGCTCATTGTCTTTTGATGTCTTCAGATCATACAGCGAAGCAGTCAGCAGCCCTACATTTGACATCTGCAAGTGGTTGTAAGGACTATTTGGAACAAATGCTGAATATGGAACAAATGCTGAATATTAAAAATGCACAATGGATCATAGCCAGCACTTTCAGCCTGGCTAAAATGAGGCCCCTTTTGTCATTGTTCTCCCAGCTGAGTGCTCCCTAGGCAGTGTTAATGCACAGACTAGAACATTTTCCAAGAAGGTGAAGACTCAGAATCCTTTGCAGTAATTTAGGGACACTTTGGATAAATGGGCTGCATGCACTGCTTGTTTGCTGCAGGTTTCTGGCCAGGCTCTGATCTTTAAGCAGAGTTAGGAAGAAGGTCAAAATAAAATCACCCATTTAGCAAGTACAAAAGCATAAATACATGTTACAGAACCTGTGGGACACAAGAATAGAATGCAGCCATGTCTCTTGCATACAGACCAAAGAAAACCCACATAACAGCTCTTAATACTTTCTGTAATGATTAGCAGGTAGAAATCCAGGAATTGCACAGAAAGAAAATGTCTAATGCTGCTTAAAAGAAATAGTGGGAAAGAAACAGCTACACTCTGCCTGCCCTGAGAACACGAGGAGAGAACTAGATAAAGCAACCTTTCCATTCCTGGCCCTGTGTTGTTCACAGTGCACAGGCCAAACTCCACGCTCCTCCTCCAGCAACTGAAGCGATGGAGCGAGCCCTGGCTCAAGATGATGTCAGATGAAAAGCTGTTTTACAGACTACAGGGGCTATCTAGAATGGACTCTGTATTATTCACAAAGGAGAGATTTCTAAGGCAAAAGTGATTATTATGATTTCTCCTCATCGGCCTTCCTGCACAGTAATAGGTCAACACAGTTTTGCATTTGGGGAGACAGGAAGACATCTCATAAGAACTTGCTGTAGAAAATAGGTAGAGCAGAAGAAGCTGTAGGACTACAGATGCCCAGGCCCACTTCCACGTAATAGACCTACATCTGTAATCATTAACTTTTTGCATACAGAGCAGCTTCCATGCAGAAATGTCCCAACCACAAAGAGAGGGCACCTTCTCCAAGATTCATGGTGTCAGATATGTATGTGAACTGGCAATGACAGTAAACCAGCACACCATCCAGAAATCACAGCACTAAGAGAAACAGTGTAGGATTAAAGAAGCTGTGGTTTACAGTTTCTTGAGCCAGAAAGGCCATTGTACCACTAGACACAGCACTTTGGAAGCTTGAAGAGAACATATTTTCTTCAAGCAGTTTCTAAGTTACATTCTTTGTGAGGTCCTGCTTGGTCACGATGTACATTGCAGCAGGCACAGTGAGATCCCATGGAGCTGTGACTCCACTGGGTTGTCTGTAGGCTGTAGAAATAAAGATTCCCATAAGGCACAGTCTGGCACTTTCAGCACTACTCAGTTCCAGAGGCATGTCAGACTGACCTGACATGCTGCAAGTTGTAGAACCTCTCAACACAGCTTCGGCCTGTCAGCCCCAGAAAGCCAGCTGGGCTGTCAGCCCCAGGGGGAAACAAAGGGCTGGCTCTTGATCACGTTGCACTTTGTGTGATCACTTGCTTTCACAACAGGCAAATCTCTTTTGCCAGTTGTGGGACTGGATAACATTTTAAGATATCTCAGAAGTGATAAAGCACAGCACACAGCAGGACAGGGAATGACTGCCAGCTGCTTTTTTATAATCCAGTACCAGTTCTTTAAAAGTTATATGTTTCTCATTTTGATACACTGGTTTTAACTTAATTTTTTTCAAATGTAATTGATACATTTCTTATTTGACACACAGATGTACACAAATGGGACTGACATGTGCCAGAGTATGTGGGGGAAGTCATTTAAGGTGAGCAAGTCCTCTTGCCTCTGCTTGCAAATGAACAAGAAGGACATGGTGGCAATCAAGTATCTCCTCTCCAAGAGCTCAGAGGAAAGCTCCAGCAGCAGCAGCTCCAGCAGCAGCAGCAGCAGCAGCAGCAGCAGCAGCAGCAGCAGCAGCAGCAGTGAGGAGCATGCCTGCCAAAAGAAGCTCCTGAAGTTTGAGAAACTAAAGGGAGAGGAAAAGGAACATACAAGATAAATGCTGGTGGATGTATGTCAGGACAAGAGAAATCACCATGGAGGCTGGGCTCAGGGCACTACGCCAGCCTGCTTTATCCCTTATTTCCTAGAACATAATAAATCAATGGCTGGTTATATTAATCTTCCTCTGATGTTTTTGCATCTGCATCACAAAGCTCCCAGACAGGTTAGCACAGGTGTAATCTTGTGACTTGAACTGAAGAGCGAGAAGCCTGAAGGTAACATCTAGGAGTTCACTTTCAAAGAGGAGAGGCACAGGCAGCTCCTGCTTACTTAAGGTGGAACGGTGAGAACTAGAGAGCTTTGAAAGGCCATGCCAGTAATGCACCAAATCTTCAGCCCAAACCCTTGATTAGCATAGGCACACAGCACTCCTGTCACGAGTTCCTCCGTGCCTGGCACTGCTCAGATGAAAAAGAAATGCTGCAGGCAGAAATAGGTCAGTGAGCCTGGCTACTGACCACTAAAAGTGTAGTTATTTTGTATCTCAAAAACATTTTCACAAAACAGGGGGTTGTGGTCTACTAGATAAATCCCTGGATCCATACATTGCCAGAATACAGTATGCAGTCTGTTGCAGTGGGCTTTTTTCTTAAGCAACAGCAGTACAAAAGACTCCTGCATATGAATTTGAAGCATAATTCTAGTGCAATTAATCTCACTGAATGATTCCAAACAGAATGTTCCCTGATTATCAAATGGAAGTGTCAGAGAAGGCCCCAATCAGGTTTCTCCCATCAGCAATTCAGCTTCCCACCATCACTGTTACAATCAAACTAAAACCAAAATCTGCAGCAGTCCCAGAGGGACTCACCAAGTAAGGAGAAATGAAGTCCTGCTTTCAGTTATGCATCCACACCCCCTCTGACATGGCTGCAGAGTGGCAGGTCAGTGCCATTCTCTACAGCCTTTCACAGTGGTATCCCCAGGAAAACCATGAGAAGGATTTAGCTGGGGGGGGGGGGTGTGTCAGCTCAGTGCTAAGCACCTTACAGCATGTAAGAATCTGGCCCACAGTGAGAACAATGACTTGGCACATCCTATTAAACTAGGAGAATCTTAAAAATCCAGGACACTTTCTTCACTGGACTGTTTATTTATTGGAGTGGTTTCACACAGCTGCAATAGTAATGCTCAACCCATTAGATCATGCTCAGCTTCCAACCAGCTTCTCAGTGTATTTAACAATGCACTAATTCCTACCAGCTCTGAACTGTTTTTAGGATGGTACTTTGCCACATCTACATTTCATGCTAACTCAATCTGTTAGTTTTACTGTTTGAAAAGAAAGAACAAGAATTTGGCCTTCTGTAAAGCTCCGACAGTCCCTTTTCCCCTTATTTCACTAACTCTGTTCTTTCCTCTGCCTCTTTATTGCACCTGAATCAGAGCAGAAATTTTCCTGCTTTTTATTTTGCTGGGCTCAAAATTCAGGAATTAATTATCCCTTCTCACTGCCACAACACCAACTTTTTCTTCACATTCCACTTTATCCTCTTTGCTCTGGCTAAATTAGTCTTGAAACCACTCTTACCAAACAGTTCTTCCATGCTTAATTTCAGGATGACCCATGAGACCGGTTACTGCATGTTTCCGAACAGCACTGGATCTTACAGCAGCTAAGGGACCAACACCATTTGGCTCCTATTCATAACTTTAGCACTGAATCATGATGTACCCAACTCAAACCATTTGATTCTTTTGTGACCCCAGTGCTTTTGCAGAGCTACCACATTCCCTCTAGTTGATCTCTTTTCTGAGCCAAAAAGTCAAGAAATGCTCCGTTGTCCCTAATACAGAAATTGTCCCGACCTCTTGGTCACTCTTTTATTGATCCAGATATGTTTTATTTAAATAGAAGTTATCACCCAGAAAGACTTTCGGTCTTGATTTAAAATTCAGAATAACAGAGAATTGTCCAATTTGTTTCCTCAGTGTTAAACATTATCCCTAATTTATCTTTCAGCCAGTGTGTTTTGCTGAAGCCTGTCGCGTTAAAGAGTTCTTCAGTAGCCAGCATTGATTTTCTGCTCAGCAGCATATACACTGCATCAAACCACTTCTTAGCAATTAGCTCTATCTCAGCTCTATTTAACTTATGTATGTCATAAGACATTCCCTCTCTCCTTAAATGATACTTGTGGTTCTCCTCTGTAGCTTCTCCAGTCACGAATATCCTTCCTAGATTGTACAAATCAAAGCCAAACTCCAAGGCAGTGTTAAGGGTGACCTACAGACAGAGAACCATGTTCCTGCCTCTCTACAGACTTCTGCAGCATCATTCTGATTCTCTGCATGACTCCAGTGTCCATGTGCTATGATTCCTCATTTTTTCTTGGCATTACTCTTTTCCACTATACAGCTCCCTGGTCCCAGGGGTGTGAACTGTGATCTCAGCTCTCAGGCTTATTGCTTTGAGCTTGGTTGTATTACAAATCCTTTGTGTGACTATGCCAACCTTCCTAACCCACTGTGTGTATCTGCTTTATACTCAGAGTAACTTACATTTTAGACAATTCTCTGTGTTACTCAGAAATGCTTTCAGTGGCAATTTTACGCTTACAGAAAGGCTGGGATAACTCAGATAAAGCAAAATGAAAAATAACACTAAAAATCATTATGAAGGTGAGTCAGGGGATAGAAAGCTCCATGTTGCTGATGACTGCAGTCATCCCCAGCTAATGCTAATCTGATCTGGGAGGTGCCTGCTGTGCATCACAGCTCAAAAGCACACCTCCTGCTTCTGGACCCATGCTGGCCCAGACAACTGAAATGTCTCTGTGTTTAGTGACACCAGACTCAACTAAGATCTTTATCAAAATGTCACAATGGTACATCAAATGCTTTGTGAAATATGTTGTGAAATATGTTCCTGCACTAATCAGTAGGAAACAGACTTGCAACCTTATCAATAAATTAAAATGGATTTATCAACAAGGCAATGTTGATAAAAATAAAAATTATCACTAGTTATTGACTCATTTATGACCTGCCCATCAGCTTTTGGACTGTGCTGCTTGGGACTGGTGTCACGTTAACCATAACTCAGCTGCTGGGTCATCCTGCTTGCTCTGTTTATTTAATTTGCTTTCCTTAAACATTGGCACAATACTGTGAGACTTCTGAGGTTTCACTGAAATGCCATGAGTTCTTAGAGATGAGGTCTCTGTTCTGTTCGTTCTGTCAGAGCTCTCTAGTATCAGTTATCTGAGCCTGCTGCTTTAAAATTATTAATGTTACTTATGATGATGAACCTCATCTTTAATTACCTGCAGGCTGGAAGGGATTTCATCATCCTTCTGTAATACAAATACTTCACTCTGCATATTTCAATACTAAGCATTATTAACAAAACTTGCCCACTGCATCTTGTGCCATTGCAAGGCTTTCTTCATCAGGTTACTTAGTGATTTTCACCTTCAGTTTAGCTGTTCCAGCCACAATTTCCTGGAGTATCTTTAGTCCTCAGTTTATTTTTATAGCTCATAATTCTCCATGGATATTGATTGCAACATAGCTTCCTTTTTAAAAAATAATAAGCATCAGTAATTATGGCATTTTCAACTTCTGTTGCATTTTTCATGTGTAGGTTTCACTCAGAACATCTTATAAATATTCATTAATCTTCAAAATATACCTGAGAAGAAAATACATAGTGAGAAGCAAACTGAGTCAGTGGGAGAGAATCAGTAAGAGACTTATCTGATCATTGCAAGTATTGCAGAACTAGGGCTAGCACAGACAAGTCCTGTTTCAGAGCCTTATTTCACACTGCATTTGGAGTTACGCTTTGTAAGGTGATCCTTGGACAAAAGTTATGCAGAAATCATAGAATCACCAAATTGTTTAGGTTGGAAAAGACCCTTAGGATCATGGGGCACAACCATTAACCTCACAATGCCAAGTCCACTGCTAAACGTGTCCCTAAGTGTCACAGCTACACATCTTTTAAATGCCTCCAGGGACAGTGACTCAACCACTTCCCTGGGCAGCCTGTTCCAGTGCTCAGCAGCCCTTTTGGTGAAGAATTTTTCCCAATATCCAGTCTAAACCTCCCCTGGTACAGCTTGAGGCTGTTTCCTCTTGTCCTATCGCTTGTTACTTGGGAGAAGAGACTGACCCCCACCTCACTACAGCCTCCTTTCAGGTAGTTGTAGAGAGAAGATAAGGTCTATCCTGAGCTTCCTTTTCTCCAGGCTGAACAACCCCAGTTCCCTCAGCCATTCCTCATCACACTTGTGCTCCAGGCCCTTCACCAGCTTCACTGCCCTTCTCTGGACACACTCCAGTATTTTATGAAATAAAATACTGCAAAAAACTGAGCATCCAAAAAGTAGAACATGTTATTAAACAATGCGTTTCCATGTGCCTTCAGGGATAACAAAATCCTAAAATTCTCTCATGAGACCTCACTTGGAGTATTGTGTGCAGTTCTGGTGTCCTCAACATAAAAAGGACATGGAACTGTTGGAACAAGTCCAGAGGAGGCCATGAGGATGATCAGGGGGCTGCAGCACCTCCCGTATGAAGACAGGCTGAGGAAGTTGGGGCTGTTCAGCCTGGAGAAGAGAAGGCTGCATGGAGACCTCATAGCAGCCTTCCAGTATCTGAAGGGGGCCTATAGGGATGCTGGGGAGGGACTCTTCATCAGGGACTGTAGTGGTAGGACAAGGGGTAATGGGCTAAAACTTAAACAGAGGGTATTTAGATTGGATACAAGGAAGAAGTCCTTTACTGTAAGGGTGGTGAGGCACTGGAATGGGTTGCCCAGGGAAGCTGTGAATGCTCCATCCCTGGGAGTGTTCAAGGCCAGGTTGGACAAAGCCTTGGGTGACATGGCTGAGTGTGAGTTGTCCCTGCCCATGGCAGGGGGGTTGGAACGATATGATCTTAAGGTCCTTTCCAACCCTAACTGTTCTATGATTCTAAAAATAATAACTGTTAGATTATTTAAGGCAAATAGTGTCAAAACAGGCTGATTTCTCTTGCTGAGAAACAAGCAGCCACCAGAAAAAAGGAAAGCTGTAGATGAGATGTGGCCTTATAAGGGGTTTGGTAACATTTGATCTAACAGTCTGATAAGCAAACTGAGAAAACCGACGTGCAAATGAAATCACCATAACATGGGTGCACAACTGGTTAAAAAATATATTAAAGTATTACTATGAGCATGTTGTCATTAAGCTCAGATAGATATTCTTTTAGGAACTGCAGAGGGTCTGTTCTGATTTTAGTCAATACTTCTGCTTACTTCTGCTTAGATTTTGCAAGCACTTTGAAAGACAAGATGAGAATAAAAACAATCTTTCTGACCAGAGAGCTAGTCAAGGCCTCCAAAGGTAAAATTCTGAAAATGGAAATGAAAAATGCTGGGACTGAGGAAAGGTTAATCAAGGAAAAAAGTCATCCAGGGAAAAACAAGACATGGGAAATACATGACAAGGGAACAGCAGAGCAGCCAAGGAGCTGGGACACATGGTAGAAACTTATGCTATTTACAGTTGAAATGTCATACTGAGGAAGTTTTACTCTTTTAAGTCTTCCATGTATGCGGAGCCCTGGAAGTCCTGACTCACAAAGCAAGCAGATGTAAGACCTACAGACATCCTGCTAACAGTTACTCAGAGTTTGTGATGTATGTATCTCACATTCCACTGAGGCGCTGCTTCTGGAATGACCCCACTGCACGCACAGGCTGTGGAATGTGGTGGGTATCAGGCAGAGTTTAATTTTATCCATCTTCTCAATGAAATCAGCTCACAAGCTCTGTCAATGCAAGTGTAATATATTCTAGGAGAGCAAACATGCTTCTGATATATAAATCTGATGACTATGTAAAATAAAGAGAATAAAATTAGCTGGATTTATGCATAGTTTCTGGTTATTTTCCTTCCTTTTTCCTGTTCAAAAGGTTTTAATAACTTGGAGTCATTGGAAAATAAAAAAGCCACATG